CCTAGCGCCTTTCCAGCCCCCCCGCCCGAGGCCCAGACCCCATCCCTGACCTAGCGCCTTTCCAGCCCCTCTCCCCTCCCCGCCCGAGCCCCAGACCCCATCCCTGACCTAGCGTCTGCTGCTTGGCATTTTGGAGAAGTTAAAAGTCCATCAATAAACGTTATGAGGTTTGAGAGGTCGAGGAAGCCTCGTCAGATCTATAATTGTTTTCAGACTTTGAGGAGTAAGTCAGCCCTGGTATACAAATAAACTCCACAAATAAACTCCCTCGCCCACCCAGTCCTTTTCTTTGGTGTGAGGAGGATAAAAAGGAGTGTTACAGGTAAACATTATGTCTCACAGCTTCCTACTTGACATAAAACCCGGCTTTCTTGGGAAACTATGTAGGGTAAAGGTGTCTGGGGGATTTGCCAAGCTTCCAAGATTTGCCAAGCTTCCAAGTGAGAGTTTTTCTAGCAGATTCTGTGCAGTCAGAACTTTCCATCTCTAATGAGCCAGATACTCTTTATCGTGCCGATGGTCAGTGGAGACCTGGTGCTCTGGGAATGAGTGACTTTCCCAAGTGTCCTCTTGAGAGTTGGTGATTGGTTTTTAAATTCATTTTGTCAAAAGAGATAGCTCTTAACATAAACTGGTCAACTAAAATAGGGCTACTTCTTGGCCTCTGAGATTCTCCACTGTTCCAAGTAGGTGTTAACCTAGGAGTAATTACAGCCTTTTACCTGTTGGAAACACTTGGTTAAGGGCAGTCTCCGACCCCCAGGTGTAAGATGATACAGTTCATTCTCCCTTTTACGTCTTTTTCCTGATAAACCAAGAGGATACAGTTCATTCTCCCTTGACATCTTTTTCCTGATAAACCAAGAGGACATTAATTCAGTTGCCATTAACTTTTGAAGTGTCTTTGCAGGGTAAGTTGATTTGATGTTGGACTATTGCTGTGTATGAGTTTTGATAGAGAATTCAGAATTCACCCCATTCAGGGGGAGTTGCTGTTGTGGCGTTAAGTGGACACTGATGCTCTCTCCTGTCCTCCCCCTGCTGTTTTGGAAGGAAATGGATAGCTTACTTTTCATGTTGATGATTAACTAGGACAAGTCTTTCTTCTTGCTTCACTTATTTCCTCAACACTGGCCATCCTGTCCCAGTGTTTATGAGATTCAGACCCCAGAATTAGACACTACCTTGATCACTCTGAAACAGCAGAAGTTTGGGCAGATTAAATTTTCTACGCGTCAGTTTCCACTTTCAAATATGAGCTCTACCTCATGATTGTGTTGTGAGAACTAGAGAGGAATTAACACATTAAACACTTAAAAATATTAACACATAATAAAAAGATCCAGATAGGTTTCACTTTGTCTTTTGCAAGGCATCAGCTGAACTCTTGAATTGGTTTCTTTATAGAAGTGGGGCTAGGAGAGATTTGGAAGTGGTAGAGTGGTCACGAGTGTTTTCTATTTACGAACAGTTGTGTGGAAACTTCGGAGTACTGGAGGGACCTTGTGCCCATCACCTATGCTGCTGCTACTGGTGTCATTCATTTGTTCTACCTCTTTTTTGGGGGGGATCCAGTCGTGGACCTAAACTCTGGGCCTGGGCGCTGTCCCTCAGCTCTTCAGCTCAAGACTAGCACTCTACCACTTGAGCCACAGTGCCACTTCCGGCTTTTTTTTTTCTCCTGCTTATGTGGTGCTGAGGAATCGAACCCAGGGTCTCAGGCATGCAAGGCAAGTGCTCTTCCACTGAGCCACCTTCCCAGCCCCCTTGTTCTACTTCTTGAAGCCAGCAGCAGTTGGTATTCAGAGCACCTGATCTTTAGTTGGATCCATGTCTATGCACTTCCCAGTGGTTTTTGGTTGTTGTTGTTACCACACGTCACAGTTATTTTTTACGGGAAACTTGTTCCCAGTGACCCTCCACACAGTGACTGCCCCAGGCGCTGCCCTCTTGAGGCTGAGGGGATCATATCTGGACTTACCAGTTGGGGAACTGTTTCTAATCTCTCCTGGCTTTTACTGGCTGTGCTTCCTTGCTCTTGGTTAGTGTATTGCTCAAGACTAGTTGACTTTGCTCTTATCTTTGCACCCTCTCTTGAGGAGTGTGTTCCTTGTCATGCTATCACCTTTTGCCTCTTTGCTGACAACTTCCAAAATTACCTTGAGTCCTTTTCTCAGGGTTCTACTTTCTTGGTATCTTGGTATCAATCCCTTTATCCTCTCTGTCTCATACTTGACATATTCTCTCTCTTTCCCCTTCCTCCCAGTTCCTACTCCACACCTAATGTATTTCTACTCAAATTTGAAATATAGATAGAATTTTTTATTTTTTCCCCTCAGTTTGCATATCTTTTACCTGCTATGTACTTGGCACATATATTTACCTGCTCTATAACATGGGCAAGTTCCTTACTCTGTCCTCAGTTTTTTTTAGCATGAAACTGAGCAGTATTAGCTGCTTTATAAGGTTATGGAGAAGCCAAGTTAATGGTAAAGCAGGAGGTGAGCTTGTGTGCAATGAGGATGCAGTAATTATTCTTTTTTAAGTTTTCGTTGCTCACCTTGTGAAAAGTTTTCTCTGTTCCCACACCAGTGGGAACCAGTGGTTCTTGCTCCACTCTCAGACCAGTTCCACTAGCTAGCTGTTATAGAATTTTGATTTTGAATTGGAAGGATTATTTTAGGTTCTTTAGTCAAACTGATAGATGTTGATGTTTAAGTCTCTACCACTAAGAGCCTAAATTTACGGACTGATAAGTCCGTACTACGTGATTGATTTTATTTACTGTCAACTCTCCATATCAGCAGGCCACACCTGCAGATCCTAGCTACCTAGCTACTTAGGAGGCTGAGAGAGTATTTGGAAGAAAAAAGGTTGCATCTGTATTGAATATGTACAGATTTTTTTGTCATTCTTAATACAGCAGAATGACTCTTTACATTGTACTAGGTATTCTCCTTAATCTAGAGATGATTGAGAGGATATGACAGGGGACTTGAACAGCTGCAAATGGTGATCTCTGGAGAGATCTTGGAACCCCCTGTGGGTACTGAAGGACAGTCATATTTAATTTTAGGTTAACTTTTCATCACTACCCTCAGTCATAAAGTACTTAAAGAAGTTGCATCAACTTCTCTGAGAATAAAACCAGTTCTACCCAGGATAGTCTTTTCTAGTGTTTTCTGCATTTATTCTGTATACAAGATTATTGAATGTAAAACTTGGCTTATCTCTTAAAAATGTGCTTCTCTGGAGCAGCAGCAGTAGTTATATCCTTGATAGATTTCATTTTAATGTACAAAATGCGGGTTTGATTACTAAAGAAGTTGCTAAATGAATTCCACCTCAATTTTAAAAAATAAACCTCAAAAATGGTGAATTTTTCATGCTTTTTGGAATATAAAGGTTGTCTGAATGCTTTCTAACTAAATCTGAAATTGAGAAATACAGTTGAAATATAACATGTGTTTTTATTGTTAGATAGTATGTATTTTTTATTTTTTTCGAATAGATTTTCTTACCTCAAACCCTAAGTCATTTTTGGATGTTCTATTGAATGTTAGTGGTAGTTACATTTGCTAAATAAATTGGGTTTATTTTTAGATTTCTTATACCCTTGCCAGTGACTTAGGTGTGGGTGTGTTATTTTTGAAAATGTAATTTGGTGAGTCATAGCTCAGACTTGTCAGATGCTCTGGGTTATTGTCAGCTACTTTGGACTTTGTCAGGAACCATCCCCAGATGAATATTGTAGCTTTGTTTGCTGATCTATAGACACAACAGCTTTTTGAGGGGGGGAAGGGCTGGGACACATGCTGAGAAGAGTGTGTTTGTTTAGAGTTGGCTTTGATCTTACCCACATACTTGTTCATGAATTCAAAAGAGCCAACATTTATCTGACTGGTCTCCTTTCTGTCTGGGAGCTGTTAAATTATCTTTGATTTCCACAGTTTCATCCCAGGTAACCAACAGAATTTTATCAAATTTCAGTTATTTTTGTGGCTTTGAAATAAATTTACTGATTTAAAGTGTTTTTAATGTATTCACAGATTGTTCAACTATCACCACTATCTCATAATTGTATATCGAATGTCTCATCACCTCAAAAAGAAACCTTATACATCTTAGCATTCATTTCTCCTTTCCTTCTCCAACCCTCGATGTTTATTCATTTTTGTGTCTTGTGTATTCTGCATATTTCCTGTCAGTAATATTTTCTGATTGCCCTTGACAGTGTTGTCCAAGTTCATATATATGATAGCTTGAATCAGCACTTCATTCTTTTTTTTGGGGGGGGGTCCGGTCGTGGGGCCTGAATTCTGGGCCTGGGCGCTGTGCCTCAGCTCTTCAGCTCAAGGCTAGCGCTGTACTACTTGAGCCACAACGCCACTTCCGGCTTTTTTCTTATGTGGTGCTGAGGAATCGAACCCAGAGCCTCATGCATGCAAGGGAAGCGCTCTACCACTGAGCCACCTTCCCAGCCCAACACTTCATTCTTTTTATGGCTAGCTAATATAATTTCAGTAGTGGAAGAACATTGAAATTGCTTCTACCTTTTGGCTATTATGAGTATTCCTGCTGGGAATAGTCCTATTCAAGCTTTTGTGGGGTATGTGTTTCACTTCGCTTGAGTCTGTACCCTCAAGAGCAGTTGTTCATGTGGGAACTGTGAGCTTAGGTTTTTGAGGAATTGCTAGACTGTTTTCTCCAGCAGCTGTACCATTTCACATTCCCACGGGTCAATATTTGTTGTTCTTTTTAAAAAGTATGTTCATTAAAGATATCAAAGTGAGTGGCACGGCGCTTTAATTTGTATTTCCTCAGGGACTAATGATGCCAAACATCTTTTCATGTGCTAGTTGACCATTTGTGTCTTTGGAGAAATCTTTTCAAGTCATGTTCCCACTTTTTAAAATTGTACGGTATATCATTTAGTTGCAAGATTTCTTTTTTTTTTTTTTTTTTTGTTGGTCGTGGGGCTTGAACTCTGGGCCTGGGCGCTGTCCCTCAGCTCTTCAGCTCAAGGAGAGCGCTCTACCACTTGAGCTACAGCGCCACTTGCGGTTTTCTGGTGGTTTATTGGAGATAGGAGTCTCACGGTCTTTCCTGCCCGGGCTGGCTTTGAACCGTGATCCTCAGATCTCAGCCTCCTGAGTAGCTAGGATTACAGGCGTGAGCCACCAGCGCCCGGCTAGTTGCAAGATTTCTTTATTCTAGGTATAACTACCTTATCAGATTTGCAACTATTTTACCCTAATTGTCTACTTTTTTCCTGTTGATAGTGAAATGAAAACATTTTAAACTTTTATCAGGCCTATGCATCCATTTTTTTTTTCTTTCGTCACTGATGTGTTACCGCTGAAGACTTACTCCTAAGTCATTTCTTCTAGGTTTAATAGTTTTAACACCAACATTTGGGGCTTTGATACATTTTAATTTTTGTGTATTAGATATACCATTTCTTGAAGATGATTCTTTCCCCATTGAATGTCATAACACCAAGGGATTGTTGCAAATCATAAATGTAAATATTCTTGGATTCTCTATCCATCATCATTGGCCTTTTTTTTTTGGCCAATCTTGGGGCTTGAACTCAGGGCCTGGGCACTGTCCCTGAATTTCATTTTGCTCAAGGCTAGCACTCTCCCACTTGAGCCACCGCACCATTTCCAGCTTTTTCTGTTTATGTGGTACTGAGAAATAGAACCCAGGCTTTCATGCATGCTAGGCAAGTACGTTACCACCAGGCCACATTCCCAGCCCATCACTGGCATTTAAGGAGACAGTTTATGCTTACTTGCTTGCTGTCTCATGGGCCACCACACTGTTGTGACCTGTTCCTAATCTGTACTCACGAAGCATTCTCTCAGAATATATATCAAACCAATACTCCCAAAGCAGGGCTTTCATCATCGTTCTGCCAGTAAGCAGTGGCTCCCTGTCATTACTACATGGGAACCAAACTCCTTTGCTTGCTAGCAGCAGGGTTGCTTGCCAGCGGCTGGCCTGCCCACTGTGGGTAGTCAGGCCTGTTCTATTTCGCCATCATCATGTCTTTATTACCATTTGCCTTGATCTTCGTTTTTAATTCTCAGTTCTTTTTTTTGTTGTTGTTGTTGTATAGTTTGAACTCAGGGTCTGGACACTGTCCCTGAGCTCTTTTTGCTACTACTTTGAGCCACAGTTTCACTTCTGGTTTTCTGGTGGCTAATTGGAGATAGGAATTTCATGGACTGGCTGGCTTTGAACTGTGATCCTCAGATCTCAGCCTCCTGAGTAGCTGGGATTACAAGCACTAGCTCCCAATTTAGTTCCCAGTTCTCTTGCTACTAGATTTTAACAGTTTTTCAGAATATTTAGAACCTTTAATAACATTGCGATACATCTATCTCTTTAAGGTGTAACTTTTAAAAGAATTGCCTCCATGTCATTCGGTTTGCCACTTAATGCATGACCTGGCTGTGGTTTTGGAGTGTCCGTACCATTCAAGGTCTGGTGCTGGTGCTGACTTCTGCTGGTAAATGAACTCCTAATTACTACTTTTTTTTTTTTTTTGTGGGTCATATGACCTGAACTCTGGGCCTGGGCCCTGTCCCTCTACTCTTCAGTTTAAGGCTAGTGCCCTACCACTTGAGCCACAGTGCCACTTCTGGCTTTTTTCTGCTTATGTGGTACTGAGGAATCTAACCCAGGCCTCAGGCAAGCACTCTACTATTGTGCCAACTTCCCAGCCCCCTAAGTACTAATTTTAACCCTCAGAACTGAGTATAGAGTTAATTTTAGTATATTAAGAGTCTAAAATTTGGAGGCTAGATTTATATTGAAAGTCAGATTTCAGATTTTAGAAGGATAATAACATACATAATTTGATATTTAACTGCAACAGTGTTTAAATAGCACTTGAAAATCAGTACATTAAAATTTTGATGTTAAGGGTATCTTCCAGTGGGGTCTATGGCAGGATCCTATATTTAATTTTTTTTTTTTCCGGTTGGTCATGGGGCCTGAACTCTGGGCCTGAGCACTGTCCCTCAGCTCTTCAGCTCAAGGCTAGCACTCTACCACTTGAGCCACAGCACCACTTCCGGTTTTTTCTGCTTATGTGGTGCTGAGGAATCGAACCCAGGGCCTCATGCATGCAAGGAGAACACTCTACCACCGAGCCACCTTCCCAGCCCTAAATATTTTTATTTATGTGGAAAGAAAAAATTAATTTCACTCAAGAATGTTAAGGCTATAAAAACTAAATATGGTGGCACATTCCTGTAATGCTAGCACTTTGGAGGCTGATGCAGGAAGATTTCAAGTTGAAGGTCAGCCTGGGCTACATAGCGATATCCTATCTCTTAAAGGGAATAACCACATGTGTGCGCACACATACATACAGAGTCATATCAGTTCAAGTCAGGTGTGATTTTGCCAAGTGAGTTCTGATGAAACATAGTTTAGATAATTTTGGTTTCCGAATTGTGGGTAGTGGGTTGTGGAGGTTCACTTACCACATCTACTCTGTAGGTGGGGAAAATGCCTTTGCTCTGTTGTGTACTGCTCTGGGCCAGTCCAGCTCCCCTTCTGGGCTTGCTACCTCAGCTTCTTCTTTTCACCAGCTGTCACATACACAGCTTTCCTCATGGCATCCCTCTGTCCTCAGACGTGTAGTGTTTTACTTCATCATTGCTTCCAGTGTGTTTGTGAGAAGCATCTACTTTTTCATAGTCCTAAAATCTCAGAATGCCTGACAAGGAGTTGTGGTATAAGCATGCTCAGTGCCAAGCTTGACAAGAAGGCAGCTCACTCCTTTTTGACTGTTCTGGGGAAGTGGGGTATAGAGGGGACCTGGAGATAGCATCCAGCTTGCAGGAGCTACAGAGACTTCTAGGTCTTGGCCTAGAACAAGCAAATTCACTCTGCCTGTAGAGAGGTTTTAGATGTATTCAAGACCTTCCCTTAACTTCAGAGACCAAGTGATTGTTTTTCAGGTTTAGATGTCACTTTTCCTGTATAAACTTCCCTGGTGGTCATGAATGATGGTGGGTTGAGTGCCATACTTTTTCAAGTGTAAGCTCTCTATTGAGATTGAACACAAGCAACACAGAATTAACAAAATGATTTTTAAAAGTCGATGCTAATTTGCATTTATTAAGTGAGAAATCAGGCTTTAGTTGGAGGCTCTTAATTACTAGGGAAAAACAGAATTATCATCTTCAGTACTCAAAGATAAGGAGCTTTGGCCCTTTCTTTGTATAGAGAGTTCTCTAAATTTTCATGAAGCAATGCTTTTTCAGAAAAATAGTTATCCAACGGTATAAACACGTATAGTTCCCCAAAAATTATGTCTATCCATGTGGAGCCCTGATCTCCACAGACCTTACGTATCTTGCCATTAGACTCTAGCCGTGGTGAGTCAGAGTTCTGTATTCTTTTCTGTCATTACATATATTTAGCTTGTGGATGTGCTCTTTGTTGGGAATGACCCTGGCTGGGGTTACTTGATTGTCCTGGACTTCAAGCTGATCTTTTGAAATAGGAGAAGATCAAAACATGAGAGTCCCCTCATTCTCTAAAAACTATGATTCATATGTACATATTGTGTGTGTACATGTGTGTGTGTGTTTGCGTGTTTGTGCACATGTGCACCTAGGACATGGGTCTGGGTGTTGTCCCTAAGGTTTTTTTTGTCAAGGTTAGCACTCTACCACTTGAGCCATAACTCCAGCTTTTTGGTAGTTAATTGGAAATAAGTCTCACGGACTTTGCTGCCTGTGATTCTCAGATCTCAGCCTCCTGAGTAGGATTACAGATGTGAATCACCAGCTCCAGGCTCAACTGAATAAATTGAATAATTTTTATGTGATATACAGAAGTTAATTATATCCATAATCCCCCCTTCAAAAAAAAGGATTAAAATCTTGCCCATGTAATTGTAGCCCCTCTGTACAGTATGTTCACAAAAAATTAAAATTAAAAAAAAGGAAATGTAGCATTTAGCAACAAAATCAGAACTTTTGACTTGGATTCTTAGAACTTATGGTCAAGAATTTATGGGTTATAAAGGGACAAGGAGATTGAGGGTAAGTGTGTCCATCACCTCCATTTATTCTTTGTTATATGTTTTTTAATCTTTTGGGAAGGATTTATCTGGGTCACTTAATAGAAGAAAAACATGAATCATGTTGTGTCTTATCTTACACTGGACACTAGGGCTCTTTACTGATCTTGAACTCCTTAGGAAGACATCGTCTGTGTTTTTTGGTTTGGTCATAGACTGGCTCAGGACTTGGTATGCAGATAATTCTTCTTGTTCTATTCTTTCAGCTTGGATTTACTTTGGGCAACGTGGTTGGAATGTATCTGGCTCAGAACTATGATGTAAGTGGTCATATTCACATTTCCCTCCATTCTGTGTAACTGCTTCTTTGTTGCAGTATTGTAACTTTTCTTTGAAAGCACTGAAGTACAGGGTACCTTCTAGCATAATTGAGGTTCACAAGTCTGAGGGAAAAATCCAAATTTTATTTAAAAAAAAAACAAACAACTTTCAGTCTGAAAAAAACAATCTCACAGAGCATGTTTTCCTCATATCACCACCAGAGGGCAAAATCCCATCAGTTTAGGTGGTCTCGTTAGACCAGAATTCTTTGGAAAGCCATGTAATAAGTGAGAATTTTAAAGCGTATTTAGATAATCTTTTAAGCACCTCATCCCTTAGCCAGTTGTAGAATCGAGAATTTTGGATATAGATCTCTATGGTGTATACACTGAAGGAAGTTTTTGAAGTGGGAAGTCATATTCCTTAGCCAAGGAAGTTAAAATTGGTGGCGTATTTTACAAAGACAAGCAAGGGAAATATACTGATTTGTAGTAGAACTTCCCTCCATCAGCCTTCACTTGATGCTGGTGTTCTAGCAGGGGCATTTATTATTTATACGTATAATTTTACTTAGCACCAGATAGAGAGATTAAGTATAGGTATCTCAGGCTTGGCTTTCAGAGGGAACATTAACATATGCTTCTCATCTTTCTCTCTCTCTCTTTCTCTCTCTCTCTCTTTCTCTCTCTCTCTTTTTTGTTCCTGTATTCAGAAAGCACATGTATTAGAAACAAATTGCCATCTAGTAGATTGCAGAACATTGAGCTATAATCCCTTTTCTGTTGTTTTATTAGTCACCCCACCTCACCATCTCCTTTCTCCTCCAGCCCCCTACTGATGAATTTTATGAGGCTAAGAAATATCACTATTAATCAGGTCTCCTTCAGAGGAAAATAAGAACTTATGAAACTGTAAAATACTGATGCGGTAGATACAACATTATAATAATCCTTTTTCTTTTCAAAGATACCAAACCTGGCTAAAAAAATTGAAGAGATCAAAAAGGACTTGGAAGCCAAGAAGAAACCCCCCAGTTCCTGAGGCACTCTCCACTCCAGCACTCATTCTGGATTCACGGATTCTGCCCAGTCACGCTGGAGAGCTCCTTTACCTCCTGACCCAAAGCTTCTGTTCTTATCTCGTCTCAGCCATTTCTTGCTATACCCTGGGTGTTGCCTTAGAGCAGAAAGGGGGCCTCGAGTTCAGAAATCCTCTGCTTCCAACAGCCTTGTCTCTCCCCTGTCTTCCTTCTGTCTCCTTGGGAGGCTCTAAGACTGGAATTATGGTGCTAGATTAGCAAACAAGACCTTTAATTCGTAGTTTCTCCCCTGTTGTTTGGAGTTTCTACTATCTTTTGTCAAAAGAAAAATTGATGAGTTTTGTATAAGTGATCAGAAAAAAGTAATGCTGATTTTATAGTTTAGCAATTATGATGGGTGCTTGTTAAACACTTGTTACTAAATTTTGTTGCCTCAAAGTAATTAAAATTAATGTATAGAAGCCAGTTTATGGTTAAGTATCCATTTATTTTATACTTTTGTCAGTCAGTTCCACAGTTGATCATTTAACCCATAAATCAATTAGTCATTTGCTGAGAAATTATATTTTGAGAGTCCAGTCAAAATTGGGAATTTTCAAAAAATGCAAAACAGTTCCTTTTGTCTCAGTAGAATTCACAGTTTATTTAGTATGCATTTATTTCTTTCATGATAAATTTGTTCTGAAGAATTGTTCTTGAGACTGTAGATGCTTTTGATGTTACGTGATGGATAAATGAGAAGTTCTTGGTAAAGGAAGTGTTAACAACTTTTCACATTAATAATGAATTTACATTATAACTTCATAGTGATTCTCCTAAGGAAAGTGTGGTTCAAGTTCATACTAAAATCAACAACTCCATAGTTGATACTTTGTTTCTATAACCAGAAATAACTTTTTAATAAAGGTGGGGAGATGGAGTCTCAGGTTGGTCTTGAACTGTGGGCTCAAAACTGTCTTAGGCAGTTACTCTGTACCTTTGAGGAGTCTGCTTAAACATACTGCTGCATTTTTCTCTCTCCTTCTTTCTTTCTCTCTCTCATTAAATGGTATGGTCTTTATTTTTTTGCCAGTCCTGGGGCTTGAACTCTGGACCTGGTGCTGTCCCTGAGCCTCTTTGTGCTCAAGGCTTGAGCCACACCACCACTTCCAGTTTTTTCTGAGTAGTTTATTGGAGATAAGAGTCTCATAGACTTTCCTGCCCAGCTGGCTTCGAACCACAGTCCTCAGATCTCAGCCTCCTGAGTAGCTAGGATTACAGATGTAAGCCACTATGCCTGGCCTTTTTTTTTTTTTAAATTTCTTAATGGAGAGCATTCCATATCACTCCATATTAGTTGAATGGGTATACCATAATTGAATCTGCTGCTGGTAAGTGTTTAGTGTGTGTGTATACACATGTGAGCACACTGGTACTTGAATTCAATGGCCTCTCACTCTTGCTTGGCTTTTTCCATTCAAAATGAGTATTCTACCACTGAGCTCCATCTCAGATCCAGTGCTTAAGTTGTTTTGCTAATAGAGTAATAAACAGTGAATTTGCTGTTATTACATATGTATGCAGGAAATAGCTGTAAGGTATAAAGTCCTAAAAGTATAATTTATGCCAATATTGCATTTTGTTTCAGAGGGCTTATTGGGCAGCTTCACCAGTAATGCCCTTCTGAAGACATTTTAGCAGAATCAACAAATGGAAACAATTGTTCAGAATCACTATTCAGTCAGTGATGGTCCTGATCTAGTACGGATCCTAAAATAAGTGGTTTTGTTTCTTTTTGAAAAGCTGGGGGAATGGGCTGGGAAGGTGGCTCAGTGGTAGAGCCTTGCATGCCTGAGGCCCTGGGTTCGATTCCTCAGCACCACATAAGCAAAAAGAAAAAAAAGCCGGAAGTGGCGCTGTGGCTCAAGTGGTAGAGCACTAGCCTTGAGCTGAAGAGCTGAGGGACAGCGCCCAGGCCCAGAGTTCAGGCCCCACGACTGGACCCAGAAAAGAAAAAAGCTGAGGGGAGCTGGGGACATGGCTCAAGTGGCACAGTGCCTGCCTAGCGAGTGTGAATTCAAGCCTTGGTACCACCCAAAAAACATGGAGAAAAAAAGGTCATCCCCCCTCTGTGAGACCAGTTAAGATCAAATTATAGTTTAACTTTTCCCTAGCTGTGGGAAGTGGGCAAATGGGCTATTTATGAAGCGTGCATTATCTGTAAGATGTAATACCTACCTCATAGGGTTTTTTATGAGGCGTGATTGAGGTATAGCGTATGTGACATGTTAAACTGTACTTTGCAGATTTTCCAATAAATTGTAGATATTAGTTGAAATAAGCTGTTTTGGGGCCTGGATGCTTTTGTGTTTCTGGAGTCATTTTTGGAACTACTTCACGAACCACATATTAAACATGGTTGTGTCATTTGTCACTTAGATATTGATGAAAATTTATAGCATCCACCTCCATTATAGCATATGGCTCCCAAGATTTGATCTTTGAATGTTTAAGCCTCAGAATATAAAGTTTTTTGTTTTTTAAATTATTATTATTTTTACCACCCTTAGGATGTTCAAAATGCTAGAGGCTTACTGAGATAGCTCTCAGTAAGACTCCAAAGAGGGGCCCTTGCCACCAGTCATGACAGTATTATTTGTTATATGGAGGCAGTGGTAGTTATGTCTTTATATCGTAGCTCATAATCAAAGCTCATGTGGACTTGAATATTCCCCTCAGCAGTGACACTTAACTGTCCTTGCTAATAGAATCATTTCTACAAGGAGGAGCCATCAGTGAGTCAGTTCGTAGGTTTGATTTCATACATAAAGTAGTATGCTGTGAAAAAATGCTCAGAGACCTTAGACAAGGTGTTCTGAAAATTTAGTTAGAAGAACCCAGAATCATGTGGGTTTATTTTAGGGTGTTGATAATGTGTGTGGGGTTGTGATTGCTATTGTTGTTCTGAGTTGCTTTCTCTTGGTGTTCTGTAGGAACCTTTACTGCACAAATCAAGGAAATGATAAACCTTTGAGTCCCCCCCCCCCCGCTTTAAGAAATATGTGAAAATTCCTGTTGATGTAATTTAAGAAAACTTTTGCCACACTAGACCATGAAGGGAGGCTCAAAATTGTACTGCAGATGAATTGATGTGTGAAATAGAAAACTCCAGGATTCATGCTGGCAACAAAAAAATAGATTAAACTTGAACAGCTTACCCTTAAACTGTAACCCTCACAAACAAAATCAAAGAGGAAAAACTAATTATAGTTATCAAAAGGGATGGAATTTTCAGAGTTTTCTTCTGTTTGACGTTTTAGAGAATTTGCTTCTGATCAAAAGAAACTTTTACTTTTCATTTGTGTAACTACAGAGAAAAATCTGTATGTACTTACTCATAGAGCACATGTTCATGTGTAATGCTTTTATTTCTACTAAGCAGTTCCTTCCCTGGTTACTGTGCTGGTGTTTGTTTTTCTGCTGAGGTCTTTCACATTTTAATACTTTCTCTGAGGTAAATTTCCTGAAGGAACACTACATACTGTATGGGAATGAATGAGGCCTTTCTTAAACTTCCTGTCTTGAGTTTTGCACATAGTATTTTCATTCCTACACATATGAATAGGTTCTTTTTTTCCCCCTTGCTATTAGGGCCTTCCCTTGTGGAAAGGAACAGAGTGGTAAAGGGAAAATATTCTGAAACCTTGCCTGGTCTTAAACAGGAGATAGTGATAGAATTTCCAGTGTTCAATGTACACCTTTCCTTGGTCTGGTTGAGAATTTCCAGTGTTCAGTGTGCATCTTTCCTAGGTCTGGTTGAGAATTTTCAGTGTTCAGTGTACCTTTCCTAGATCTGGTTGCAGCACCAACAACTCAGTCCTAACAGATGACATGTTATGCAAAGGACTAGGCAGTGAAGAACTGAAAAGAGACAGATTTTGTGGAAAGAGCCCAGGGTGGGGTGTTGTTGCTGGGATCACTGTCCTCATGGCCGGACTGGGTGGAAGATGTCCTGCAGTTGTACAGGCATGGGATTAAAAAGGTGCTGTGTGAAGAGCTAGGACAATTGTGTTGAATGTTCACCCAGTGAGAGGAGCCCAACGATTAGCTAGTGTACTAGAGTGGTCTTGGTTCCCTTTGTGGTCTAGGATCCAAGCATCTCGCAGTGCTAAATGATACAAGTTCTTAGAGCTATTTTTGCAGTGTTTGCAAAATGCAATCAAAGCCAAATATATTCTCTCTGGTGTCTACATGGAATTGGCTCTGTAGACAACCAAATCCTCTGATGCTCAAGATCCTTATATATAATGGTGCAGTATTTACACATAACCTATACAGTCCTACACTTCATAACACTTAGTAAATTCTATTTAAACTACACTTTATAACACTTAGTAAATTGTAAATTCTATTTAAATGATAATAAGGGGAAAAAGTTTGTTCAGTATAGACATTCCCTCCCACTGCCCCCCAATTTTTCCTGTCACAGACACACTGGGCCAGCTTACTTGTTTGGTGTTTGGCTAAAAACATGGATTTTTTTTTTTTTTTTTAAATAAAAGTGCTGGTGGCTCAAACCTGTAATCCTAGCTACTTGGGAGGTGGAGATAAGGTAGGGATCCTAGCTTGAAGTCAGACCACTCATAAGATTTTTGAGATCATCCTAACTAGTGCCTGGGTGCAGTGGCCTGTGCCTCTTATCCCATCTCAGGGAAGAATGGTGGCAGGGTGCAGTGTTGTATGCCACTCATCCCTTCTCCTTAGAGAAGCACAAGCAGAAGGATTATAGCCCATACTGGCCAGGACTAAGAACCTACTTCCAAGGTAGAGGAATAGCTCAAGTGGTAGAACACCTGTATTACAAGCACAAGGCCCTGGGTTCAATCTCCAGTACCACAAAACAATGAAAATAAAATTGTGATGCAGTGTATGCCTTTGTGACATGTAAATGCTAGTGTAAAATACTGTACATTGTGTACTTCACAAGGACTTAAAAGGAATTTCAAAGGCACATTTGATACATAATTGAGAATAAGGTGCAAACAGTATCTGGCTCTTATGATCATAGCCAGTTTTTGTCATCCATATAGTGTGATATTAGATGATAAAAAATCAAGTGGTATTTTAGTGGGGGGAGAGCGGAGTTGGGGAGGTGGGGAAGGGAAGGGATGATAGGGGAAAAACAGGAGGGGGTAACAATGGTCGATAGGAAATGTACTCATTACCTTACTTACATAACTGTACAGTATCTTTATAATAAAAAATATATATTAGAAAATTAAGTGATACTTTAAAAGACAAATAGGGCTGCAAGTTATTATCTGACAGTGAATGGTTTTCAGTTAGAAGGAATTGTTAATCACATCTGCCAGCCCCTGTCATAGCAGTGGGCAGTCTGGCTTGGTCTGAAACAAGATTTGGAAACAATGCTGTCCTTTTTGCTAGCATGTCAGGCTGCAGTAGACGCACTTTCTAAGTTGGCTGGTTGAGCGTGCTGGGCCCCTGGCAGCAGAGAGCTGCGTAGAGTTGGCACTGTGGAGTTGACTGTCTCAACTAGTTGCACACTGACCAATTCTAAAATCACTTAATTCTAGGTGAACTTTTAATATACTCCCAGAATCTTACTGTGTTTTGTTTGGGTTCTATAATGGCTCAAAAATGTGATTG